ACTGCATAAAAAAGAAGAACAAACATGAAAGTTCCAACGAAAATTCGACACCAAAGAACTGTAATTATATTTGGGAATAATATTAAAATAGATTTTGTCAATAAAAATCTGTATCTTCTTGTTCGGTTTTATTTGAAATATTGTTCAATTAAATTTTAAACTGGAACTATAAATTAAGTATATATTTTATAGTAGACATACGACATCTTATTGAATTTAAGACATTTCAAACAGATTTCAATTCAAATCAGAGACCAAAATCGAATGGAATAAGTGAATAATTCGATTCGACTTAGCTGAATTGAGTCGATTCCGAATGAAGATTTTCCTATTCATTTTAGTCTCTATGTCTAATATTTCACATTAAAAATCACGTATTTGTGATGCTTACAACCATTTCTTCTTCGAATGAGACTCAGCCAGTTTTTATCGTTTTATCTGATGCTATTGCTGTATTTGGTGAACTACGATTAAAAGATGTAACAATTTTCAGAAATTAGTACAATCATATTGCATGCATCACTGATATCAACCTATCAGTTTCTTAGCACTAAGGCCAATCATCTTAATTTTTATCAACGTTGATATAATCTTATTTTCTTTTATAAATAAGAAGTAGAATGGCGTATAGCATTGATATCAGTTTTGTTTGAATAAATACCGTAAAACCTCTTTATTCTGAATAATATCAGAACCAATAAAAAGTATTCATGATACGAAAATATTTATCTTAGAGAGCTGACGCATAGTTTGCTGTGAAATGAAGAAGCTACTGCTTCAGAATATCTGCTTTTACACTAGTCCGGTATATCTATGCTCGTATTGATCTGTTTCCATTTGAATGTCTTTAATTGAAAAATTTTTCAATTAAAACAAAAAAATTTAGTTTTTTAAAGTCATCTAATGTTAATTTTTCGTTGTGCATTTGAAGTAATATCACTATCAATTAAGTTTGGATTCGAATTCATTAATTAATTCAATTTTGACTTCCCCATAAGCTTGCGTCATGATATCAATCTTTTCTTCACATAAAAAGCACTCGAGTCATGCATACAATTTACCATACTCGTATCTCATAAGAAACAGCTGATAGACAGTCGAAAGAAGTCAAAACAAAAAGAACGAATACTACTGCATCCATCTTCTCACAGATCATTTACATGAATGTTTAGTAAATCGTTTTCTTAGCACAAATTCTAGATTATTATTACTTTGATCTTGCTAATGTAAAATTTTCTAGAGTTTAAGGAAAAAAAAAGAATTCATGTACATTGATATTCTATGATCACGTATATATTTCTTTAATTTAATATTCTCACGGGCGAATTCTTTGAAGCTCCAAGTACTATCACTGGTAATATCGATAATTCGATATTTCCGAACATCTATTCTTTTACAAAGATCAATAGAACTATTTTGATTACTGTGGAGAGTAAACATGTTTACAATAAATATGAGAGATATTTTCTAGACAATGATTGAAAAATTGCTACTTTGATGAATCCTTTGATTTTTTCCTTTTTTTTTTGCATTGTTTCTTGTATGATTAACAGAAACACATATCAAAATTATGTAACATCCAAACAATGATATTTCTTGATGTAATGAGTTATTCATCATATTTTCTTATTTAATTTACGAGGGAAAAAGTTCCCCAACTGATATTAATTGCTTTTGAGTCCACAGTATCAGTATTACGTAGACCTTCACGAAATAATAAGTACCAGGAAAAGAATTCAGATACTTAGGTTGTTGCTGCTAGGATATTCTACTTTTACAGCATTTTAAACTCTTGCCTGTGGTTCTCCTCAAGAATACCAAGAAAATTGATCTATGAATTTCGACTTAAAACTTTTCATAGAGACAAATCTTGGCGAGAATAGTTCATTGTCGAAGTTTCAAATCTTTTTATTGTGTTTATTTAAAGATATGGCGATGATAAAGTCGTGCCATTGATACGTCGCTCATATACGCTAGCAATATTCGATATTTTTATTTCACGACAGCAGCAAGTCAAAACATTTGAAACTTTCACTGTAAACTATTTTCATCTAAGCTTCCTAAAAAAAAAAGAATCAATTTTTTCCCCCAGTATATTTAAATCACATGAAATTTCAGGATATTTTGAAACTGCAATGAAGAGGATATGGTAAAATTTTCAATTCTATATCATGATGCTTTCGTAAGATACTTAACAAAACAAGTGTCAAAAATAGCTCATTTGACAATCCGAAATTCTCCATGGGCCTTTATATTATATACTTAATTTTGTTTTCTTCTTGAAAGAGCAGGTCAGTATGCAGGACATCCCAGGATCCTTTTTTCTAAATTCTTACTTTTGAAGCAGAGAAAAGTTCAACGGCTCAATAAAATGATGCTCTAATTATAAAATTACTCTTTTATATAATAGTAACAAATCTTAATTCAAGGTAAAAAGAAGGATTCTGTCATGCCCTGCATTGTGCCATGCTCTTTCAAAGAGAAAAAACCTGTTGACTCTACAATGAAGTTTGTTAGAAAATTCTTGGATCTGCTATCGAAAACACATAAAAAGAGAGAAAGGGAAAAAAGATGTTCTGCTTTCTTTGAAATAAAACATATTCATCAAGTAGAAAGTGACAGAAATTTTTGAGAAAAACGTGATGCCAAATGAAAAGTCATGTCATGAATGACAGATGATCAGACCTCGGGCTATCTTTCAATGTACTTGTCTAAATTTTTATTTATTTGATGAAAATTGACTTTTATTGACGAATGTCAGCTCGAGGTCTATCTCTATGCAAAATTTTAAACCAAAATTCTAAAATTAATTTTTCTCATGTTTCAAAGGGATACCACACCAGTGAGCTAACACACACTGTAAAAATGCAGTATCTCTGCAGCAACAAAACCAAGAGACCGAACTCTTTTCAGAATATTCTTAGCTCATTAACATTTACTTGATGCACATAATCTCAATTAAAGAGCAACTTATCAGTTTGAGAACTTGTCTTGTTATAGATGCTCAATATATTAGACCTAATAAAAAGACACTTGACGCAATTGATAGTCAAAAAAACATAAATCTGGAAGGGCGTAGATAATTTACGATCCATTGATTATGTGAAAAATATAGTATTTAATTGTTTTCTTATCTGAAGATTTACTTTCCGTTTATAATCTGAACGAAGGAAAATTGAAAAAAAATATGTAGTCATTAAAATAATCGATGCATTATCAAAACAAAATTTCAATAGACTTTCTGAACAGAACAAATATTCATCAATAAGTGAACAATTCATTATTGAGAAGGTCGACATTCTCAAATAAAAAGAGCATGTAAATCCTTCACATTCAAACATCTACATTACAATTGATTTACTGCAAAAGAAACAACTGTTAACATCGATTGCAAGAATACTAAATGATATGAAGGCTTCAACTTCATAACGTCGGAAAAATGAATTCATAACAGATGAATGGTTAGTAAAACTCTGACAACATTATGGTGAAGGTCATATTGACATTCTGAAGGCCTTGAAAGCTGCCGAACTTCAACATACATTAAAAAGTAAAATAAGCATTCTGTTTTTTCTTCTTCTAATAATAAATTGATATTCTTTATGTAATCAATAGACAGTAAACCATGTCGATGAATATCATATAACGAAAATTCAATTCAGATTTCATAATAAACATGAAGAATTCAATAGATTATTCTGTCATTTTTTTTTTCTAAATAAAAAATCGATTCTTTTCATTTTCACGGATTATTTTTCACAGCTGGTGCCTTTATACAATAGATGAAATTCATTATGCAATCAATGATTAATATTGTTATTCGATATTATTCCAAAAAATAACGAATATAAAAATAACTTCTTCAGTACAAAATGGACACGATCATAGCTTTCTTTTCTTATGTCATCGAATAAGGTCATCTTATTTATCTTTTTATGAATTTTTGACATCCAGAAGATTTTCTTGTGATAAAACTTTATCTATAACATAATGAACAATTATGAAAGCAAAAATCTTATGACATTAGTTTATTGGATTTTATCAATTTTATTTGGTAAAGAAAAAAAAAGGAGACAACGCACATTTAGGCAAAGTTTATAATAAAACTGAGAGCAAGAGAAAAAAAACGAGGGATCGATCAGTCAGTTAGCAGCATCCCGCACTAATAACAGACAACAGAATCAAGAAGAAAAGGGTAGAAACAAACAGGAAAAAAAAGCAAGCAACCAAAGTGAAACAACAAACAAAAAAAAAAGAGAATTTGTTGCTTTAAGACTGAAGAAGAGAAATAAAGAGAGATTGAAACTATTCTGTCATATTGAAAAAAAATCAAATAAGATTATAAATCATTTTATTAAACTACTAGAGAGATAAAGACAAACAAAAAAAAGCAGAAAAGGCGAGAAGAAGCATAGTGAAAGAGAGAAAAAGCGATAGAACAATGGATTGTATATGTTTTTTTTTCTAAATATTCGTTTTTTTATGATTATGATTGTATTAGACAAAAAAAGAAAAAAATCTTCATCCTTATTTACAAAGACAAAAAAGAAAAATCAAAATTCAATCTTCTCTACACATATAGTTAAATAAATAGAGAAAGGATAAATGTTCAAAATTCTAAATCAATATTGTAGTGTAATCATCAATCGTCTTTCTTCATTATTTTCTTTTCTCACATTATTCCTCTAAAATAATAATAATAAAGAAATCCATTAATTTTTCATTTTAATCATTTTTCTGTTCTCATCATGCAAAGAATTGAGGCACACATGCCAATGAAAGAAAAAAAAATAGGCATTAGAAGCAAATGCTGGCCCCCCTTCCCACTTTGATTGAACAAAAAAAAAAAGAATATTTTGCTCTTATAGTATATCACTTACACTCAGGCCAATCGGTATTGCTAAAGAAAAAATTACTTTTGATGATGATTTAAAAAACGCTTAGAGAACGGACATTTATCGATGAATAGGATTACATCATTCATTTTAAATAACAACTTACTATGGTAGATTGCGTGATGATTCCGAACCAAAGACAATTTTTTGTGAATGTGAAGCTCGTTCTTCACCTTGTTCATTAAATAAACGTGTTTCACATTCTGTACCCATACCCCATGAATCAAGTTTATCGTTAACAACTTCTGATGGTGGTCGATGATGAGCATTTTGAGCACTTCGAGCAAAGATTTTCAATTCACTACCATGTTTCATTATTAAACCATAAGGTATTGTATAAGAAATATCTGGTGAACCTTCTACACGTCGTTTTAATGTCCAATTTGACACATCAACATCTTTATCATTTGAACTATTTTCAAGTGTTATACATTTACCATCAGGTGTACAGTCTTCTGCAATAGTATCAAAATAAAAATATGTTTAGTTTATTCATTTCAATAATCTTGATTAAGACTTGTTATATGAACAAATGTTTATCTTATCTATTAACGATATTTGTCTGTTTTGTAAGAATTTTACCTTGTTTGACATATCTAAGAATATCATAGCAATTACATAAAACCCTTGGGAATCTCTTGAATGTTATGTCAATAACTTCACAAGGGAAGATGGTTTTCATTTAGATAATGAATAATAATATGTAAAACCTTTATTTTTGCAGACTGTTTCAATAAAATTAGTTCTTTAAAAATGAACATAAACTCAAATCACAAATTTGTCTAAATTTTTATTCAGTTCTAATTTGTTCAGCGTAAATCTGAGTTTGTAAACTATCAAATTACTGAATAAAAATTAAAAAATCAGCAACAAAAGATGAATTTAATTAAAATAGTAGAAAGGTTGATGTTAAGAAAGAATGATAAAACCTGAAATCTTTTAGCTGATTCAATACGATGAAAAAAAGACTTTGGTAAAAGCTATACTAAAATAACAAATAAAATTTTTTTCAATGTATAGCCTGTATACATTTATATTCACGAAATTAGAGATTCAAATAAGATTCTAAAGTATGCCGTTTTTCGAAGAATATTGCTACCAGCTGTTTGCATATTAAAATTGTAAAAAACAATAACAAGATCTAGGGTTTCCGGTAACGGAGGACGAGGTCATCATGATCGCTGAATGTATGCTAAAGTCCATTAAAGATCGTATTGGCTCATCATTGTTCATTTTGTGCTGATAAAAATGAAAAAAAATTTGAGAAGGGAGGGATTTCATCACTTCACTTCTCCCTCTCTCCATCCGCCACTGCTATATGTCAGGCATACTTAACTAGGATTGATGGATTCCTAACCTATACGTAACGATCGTACTCATGAGAGATTCTTTTCTGATCAAATTCACAATAAATTTCTTAATTAAAATAAAACAGGGAAGTGTAAAAACACTTATAAATGAGTAGTTTAACAATGTTGTTTCTTTCTCTTTGCAAAATAGTATAAAATAAAATTCAATACGTACTGATAGCGATTGGACCCTTTTTAATTTTTTTATTAAAAACTTTTCCTAATTCACTACCAAATGATGGTGGTGCTGGTTCAGGCGGTAAAATTTGTTCGACTGTTTGTTGTGCAAGTCGATTTGTTTCACTATCTAATAATCGTCTATAAACATTGATTTCTGATTCGAGTGTTATATTGCTTAAAAAAACAACAATAAAATATTAAATGAATGAAAGCTCATTTGTGTTGCTTTTTTACCTTCGTAAAATTGTATCGATTTCATTAGTTAGTTGTTGTATACGTTCTTGTGCAAGTGTTAAATCTTTATTAATTGAATCACTTGCATCTGTACGTTGATCACGTACATAACTATATTCTTCTTCTAATTTAGCTAAACGTTCTTGTAATTCTTTATATTTTTCTTTTTCATTAACTAATAATTTTTGTGAATCATTTAAATCGAATTTAGCTGCTTTAATTTGTTCAGTTATTTTCATTAATTCATCTTGTCGTGATTGTAATGGTACAAGTTTTTTAGCATCGTTTTGAATTTCTTCGATCTTAATATTATAATATTCTTCCATTTCTTTACGTTGTGCTGAATGTAAAGTTTCAAAATCACGACGTATATCACGTATAGCTTTTTCTAATTCTTGTCGATAAAATAATTGTGTGTCAATACCATTGGCTGGTTTTAATTGCTCAAATTCACTAAAATAAAAACAAAGTATACATAGAATAAATAAAATTTCAATAGAATTCTTTTTTTTTTTTTACTTAATTAAATGTGTATGAACATCATTAAGAAACGGAATTTCTTCTCGAAGTGTTTGTACTTGTAGGTCTAATTTAATTCGATCAAGTGTTGCTTTATATGATTGATCATTTAGTTGATCAATTTCATTGAGATATTCTTCGCGTTGATTAAGTAAATTTTTTAATTGATCTTCAACTTGTTTATACGATTTTTGTAAAGCTGCTAATTCAGCACATGAATGTTCATATTCTAATTTTAGTTGTTCACGTTTTTCTTCTTGTCGATCATTCCAAGTTGTTTCATCATTGATTAATGAACGATAATTATCAATTGTATAATGTGAACGACGTAAACGTGTTTGTAAATCAGCTTCATCAATCATACTTTCATTAACTTCTTGACGAAGATGATCAAGCTGTGGTGAATATTGCCCTATGATCGCTTGAGATGCTAAACCCCATGATTTTGTTACATCTTCAAGTTGACCGGTTAATTTAGCATTTTTATTTTCAAGAGTTTTAACACGATCGAGATAACCTTTAAGAGAAAAGAACATGTTTTTTTTTTCGATAGATTTTTTGTTTTCTTACCTCGAAATCGATCATTTAATTCTGATAATTCTTGTTTTTCACGTTGATGTTGAACACGTAAATTATCAGTAACCATAGAATTTGTTGATTGATTAAATAATGCATATGATGAACTATTTCCAAATTCATTTTGACCTTGTCGTTGCATTCCTGATGATGATGGCGATGGATCTCGAAAATTTGTACGATTGCGTGTACCCGATTCAATTGAAACTGAACGTGTCGATGTTTTTACTAAATCCCCAAGACCGGATGACATTGGACTATGTGTTGTTACAGAAATAGATGATGTTGAAGGAACACTAGTAGTAGTATTAAGAGAAGGAGAAATTGAATTATTTATTGATGAAGAACCAAGAACTAGATTTGTTGATGGATCAGTTTGAGACACGCCGGATGATGACGTAGGCTGAAAGAATAATGAGAAAAACATACATATTTTTTCATGTATATATTGATTGAGTGATTAAAATTAAAAAAAGTGTTATGACAACGACGAGACGCGACGCCTCAAAAGTTGCATCGCCGTCGTTATACTACTCATGTGAACAACAACAACATTCACGCATGTTCAAAACCATAATAAACTCATAATTGATATTTCTTTTTTACATATATATATATATATATGTGCGGATGAAAAGTAAGAAAAGTAAAGATATAAATATCTTCATCATTGATCGGATGGTCCTTTTATAAGCATATATAAATAATATAAGTGTAGGATACAAGGAGAAAAAAGAAGTGAAATGAGAAGATGACAAAAGTGACTGGTGAATACTAATGTATATATGGCACCAGCCGCAGGAATAAACTAACAAGAAATGACAAATATGACAGAATGAGCATACATAAACCACAAAAAAGAAAAAATATAAAATAAAATAAAGAAATTGACACCTGAGTATATATAATATCATCTTTGATCCCTAATTCAATATCGATCTCGACTATTTTAACAACAACAACAACCACAGAACAAAATAGAAGTAGTCTAGAGTTAAATGTTGCCTTGTTTCTTCGTCACGTCATATCTGATTGACATTGTCTACCATTAGTTTTCCTTATCACTGCAATTATTATCAGGATGGTTGTCTCTGATTTATTTTTCTCGATCTATCGATTAATCGATGTCTGTTTCTATATGTCTAATTGTTTGACATCCTACATCTATCAAGTAAACCCTCAAGCACAGGTGATTTTCTATGCATATAATGGCCAAAGACCTTTATTTTATTTTGCTCTTTCGCAAACATACATATACATGTGGAAACGATGATGACAGTAGTAAACAATTATTACTCAAATCAGAAGCCTATAAGTACCTAATAACACGAAATGTTAGACACACACACTCGTTACTAACACCAGATGAGCAATCGTTGTTGCGTTTTTTTCTCATCATACTCCATATATATGTGAACAACAAGCTCCTTTTCCGGCATACTAAAGGAAAAAATTTTTATCGTAAGAAGGAAAGAGAGAGAGAGAGAGAAAGACACAGAAACAGAGATGAAGGAAAAAAAGCATTAAGAAAGCAAAGTCAAATACGTAGAACATGCTTCGAAGTGATGGGGACGAGAAAAAAAGAAGACGAAAGGATTATCATTAGGCGTCGCTTCCGCTAAGCTCGCATGCAAATAATTGTATATGTAGACGATGTGTAGTAAAAAAAGAAAAGATTGAAAGTTGAAACCCAGTTTTTTTTCTTTATACTTCCAGAAAAAAAAACTAAAATCGGAATAACAAGGTTAAAAAATTAATCTCCTACGTGTTTTGACATATGATATGGCATTTTTGTTTTAATCAAAACAACTAATATATTTACAATAGGAAAAGACTTTTTATAAAGACTATCTACTTATTATTGTTTTATCTAATTTATAGTTTTATCTTATTCGTTTTTTCAAATGTTAACAATCGAACTACAGAAAACGGACAATTATAAAAATCATTAATTTCGTTCTTTTTTTTTGCTAGTGTATTATAATATTGTTTATCTCAGACGTTGACGATCTTATTTTTATTAGTTTTTGTTCGTGTCCAAGAATAAAAGAAAAGAAAAAAAAAGGAAAATGAGAAGATTGTTATTTTGCGGTTTGATTTCAACAATCCATGATTGTAACATATTAAAAAAAAAAATGTTTCTTTTTATTCTGTTGCAATCAAAATAGATGGCAACAAAACCACAACGTTCATTTAGGTCTATTCTTTTCTCTTTTCTCTATCAACTCTTATTTCCCAAGGACAGACTTAGCGAAACAACAGAGGAAAAAAAAAGAAATCTATCACTGTAACAATTGTCTGTTTATTGACAGAGAATTCTCAGCTGGAGCATATGAATATATTTTTGATAGACAAATGATGACTTCTCTCTCTTTTTTCTTCTTCTTCTTCTATACTAATCATATTGACATGCATATGTGAATTTGCAATACAATTGTATGATTATTACTACAATTCAATAATCAATTTTTAATAACACAAGAAAAAACAACATATCATCTGTTTGACGCGTAAATAATTATTTAAAAGAATAAAGAAACGAGAAAAGGAAGTCTACCTGAATTGTATTGACCGTTTTTCATTATGAACCAAGAAATGAAGTATTCGTTATCTTATTCGTTTCGAACTAATTCAATGAGATCTATTGGATTTAGTGTATTAGATATATGTATGCAGATGATCTGTCTGTCTGTTCATTTTTTTGTCTGACGGATGATCCCTATGAAAACATTTATACTATCTATTCAACCGCCCACCATTTGTTTTTGCTCTTTGTCTCTCTTACTCGTTAAATCCGTTCATTTTGATGCATGTGTTTTTTTTTTTTATAAAAGAAATTATTATTAAATTTTATTTTGCGAATGTAATGCTATTAAGAAAATGACGAAGACAAAAAACGAGAATAACAATCGTAATAAAATAATGAAAAATATAATAAGCTTTAAGAAAAGTTTGTCTATGTAAATAAACAAAGAATATACACAACGTTTATATTTGAGAGAGAACTAAAGAAATAGTTTTCACTTGCATGCCTACCTCTTACACTTGTCGTTGTGTGGATGTCAGTCGTCTATTAATTGAAAGTAGACAAGCTTCGACGTTCTCGTTGTCGTTTTTTCCCTGTTGTTTATTTTCTATAAAACACACCACATCAAGGTGAAGTCTTTTTTAGTCGTATTCTTGTTTTATATCATACTTCCTCTATGTCAATAAGAGAAAAGAGAGAGAGACAGAGAGAGACAGAGAGAGAGAGAGAAAGAAGAGAAAAAAAGAGAGAATTGTGGTGGTGAAAAAATATCTGCAAAACCGCAATATACAGGTAGATAGAAAAATGTCAGCGAAATTCTTTTGTTATTTGAAAACAAAAATTCTTCTCTGTATTTTGCATATTTCATGCTGCGTTTACAGTCAACAGTCAAAGGCTAATACTCTCATTTTTTTTTGTCTATGTACATCTTTTGCTCTTTTTCGATATATGACTCTGTGACATATCTTGTCTATTTGTTCAGATGTACGAAAAATCAAAGACAAATGTCGTCTCTATATAGAAGATTATGTTATGTTATGGATATGTAGAGGTTTTCAAGACACCCAATTGTGTGTATTCTAACAGTCTATCTGTCTGAGAGATAAACATCTCGTTAAATAAAGCAAAGACTTTGTGCACCTGCTAAAATTGTATGTTAGGTAAATAGAAGGTAGTTATGCTAGTAGTAAGCAAATATCACTTTTTCTTCTAGTTGTGTTCTTGCTGTCTGTTGAGGATGGTGGCAACCTCGATCGAGGATCAAGTAGATAGTTAATTACACAAAAAAAATAGTATACAAGAAAGAACAAGTGTGTATGTGTGTGTACGTTTGTATGAGAGAATGAGATGGAAGATGGGTAGCATCAGTTTTTTACAAGGCCGTTCAAAAATACAATATGGCCGACTGTTCTTTTGATTTTATTTTACAAGATTCATTGTCAATGACGGTATGCTTGCATCTATAGAGCTCGAGTTTCAAATAGCAACCATAACAGAAAGACGCTTATCTCAAAATGTTCGTTCTTTTATTTACGCACACACGTACACATGCACAATTGTGAATATGTCACCATTATATTCTATGCATCGCGTTCTTTCATAGGCAAGCGTACTTTACAATGATTAGTATCATTGTTTCATACAATGGTCTATTTCGTTAATTTGAAATTGACCTTGAAACGAGCAGCTCATCATTTTCATATATGCATACATACACACCAGTGTATCCTATCATATCATATTGTATTGGTCACTATTATTAATGTTTTTCGCTAACTAATAAATAAAGAACGACAATTTAATAACAGCCATTTTTCAACAAGAAAAAGAAATCTTCATATATTATTCTATTAATTTAATATATTTAAAAAAAGTTTTCAAAGAAATAATACGAAACGTCGTTTCACTTCGTTCTGATATCTATTTATCTTTCAACGTTCTTTTTCTCGTCCTCCATATTCCTATCTTTTTATCATTAGTAACGGATGATAGTCTTCTTTTTAACATATACTTTTCGATCATTAAACCTTTTTGTCAGTAATCTTCAGTAAAATCAAGAAAAAAAAAGAACATTGATGTTGAATACTTAATAAATACGTATGTCCTCCAACCATCATCCCTTTTCCACGCGTCAGTGAGCAGTGGGTCAAAGCCAATTTTCTCGGTCATTACATCCATGTCGCTCCACGCCTACTCATTTTGACTCTCTTGTCCATAGCTAAGAGCAATGTATCATTTAGCATTTCAAATTTGAACAAGAATTTGCTTTTCAATTTTTAATATCCAAAAACAAATAGACTGCTTTTATGTAGAATAGTTTTTTCTATTGAAATTATGTCGCCAGATCACATATAGTAAAAGGAAAGGTTTACGCAATATCGTCACCACCATCATCATCATCTTCATTATCATCATCATCATTATTATTATTATTACCACCAACTCCCTTCTTTGCCTATAGAGAAGCACGCAATACATATATAGAATAAGGAGCGCAATCGTGTACAGGCTCAACGACATGCATAGATCGTCATCACATTCGATATGCGCACGTTCTCAATCTTTCGTTGATCATAAATCTCATTAAAAGTACGTGAGAACAGACATAAATGTATGTATCAGGAATGAAAAAAAAGAAAAGAATCGAAAAAGAATAAACGAAGAATTGTACAATAAATATGTTCAATTTGTATTTGTAGTAAAAAAGAACTATAAAACAGAAAGAAGAAAATTGAAGTTTCAGTATATATCAAAAATCTTCTATTGACTTAAGTCGGCAACATAGAAGAAGAAGAAGAAGAAGCAAATTATTGTATTGATTAGATCTTGTGAACATGAAGACTAAAAAACAACAATGACCGAAGCCTTGTTCATATATATATATATAAGGTAGAGAAAGAGAGAAGACATCCAAGTTTTAATTAACACAGACGATTATCAATGAGAAAGAACATGACATAACAATCCAGATTTGATTACATGTACTAATGAAAAGAACGATTGATCGATCGTAGTGGTCATTGACGTTTTGAATATCTATATTCTCAAAAGATTAACATCCACTTATAACATACCATACCCACTAACGTGTACAATTTACAAAAGGGGAGCAAAAAAAGAAGCTGAAGACTACTTATGAGCACTTTTACTCTTAAGAATAATACTTTTCGCGCCTGTGGCATGTCAATTCATATGCTAAATCGCGTCAATCATTTTTTTTCTTCATATATATATTAACAAGCAAAGTAAATCATTCGTATGAACGACAAGACTCATTCAAGCTGAACCAAAATATACTAGTGAATAAATGATTGATAGGAAAGAAGAAAGAAAACGAAAAAAGTAACTTACACTTTCTGAATAATTTATTGATTGAGCAGGACTTCGTAAACGTGGTACAAGAACTGTTTGTTCAAGTTCATGAGATGAATTACCTTGAAATGTATGAATTAATTTCGATACACCTGTCGAACTTCGACGTTGTTCAATTTCACTTGTTAATAAACCGTTTGTTGAAATTTTATTTGTTGGTGATGGAGTCTTTTTTTTAGTTAAATTTGATTCAATATTTATTTGAAGAGGTTCAACAGCAATAGGTTTCATATTAAATTCTGTAACATTTGGTATAGGAGAATTTTGTTGACTTTTTGTTGGTGATTCTCTTGGCGATATACGTTTTGTTGTTGTTGTTGTTAATGGTGGTGATGAACGTTTTTTAAATGTATCATTAACATTTGTTGGACTATGTTGTTGAGATGATGATGGTGATGAACGTTTTAGGGTTGTTGATAAATCTAATTAATACAACAAAACAAAAAAAGCTTATTATTTAGAAAATATTAATTATATTTACCATTATCTCGTTTATTATTACGTGTAGAATTAAGTGTATTAGATTTTTTATTAGGATTTGATATTGATAATTGTTCTTCGATGATTACTGAATCATCTTGTACTGATGTTTTATCTATTTTAAGTAAATTTTGTATTTGTTTTTTTAATGATGGACGTTTGGATTTGTTTTTTGTTGTTATTGATAATGATTTCAAATCATTTGTTGATTGAATATCAAGACTTTCTGTTGTTGATGATGATGATGGAGATATTTGTTGTTCACGTTTATTATTTTGTTTAATATCATTTATTGAAAAATTTGTTGATGATGAAGTTTTTTTTTGATTACCATTTTTCATTGTTTGTTTTTTATGTATTGATTGATCATTATTAGCAACAGCTTCAAAGACTTTAACACGGTCAGTAACACGTTTTTCCTCAGGTATAATAACACCACTTGTTGGACTTGGTTCACGTGGTTGATTTATTTCAAGAAGACGTGCAGCTGATAATATTGATGATGATGTTATAGTATTTGTTGAATTTAATGCATCATCAAGATTAACTTTTTCTAGTTCAATACCATTATTAGTAGTAGGATTTGTCATTTCAGATACTAAACCATTGTCAAGGTCATTATTTGTATGATGTTCTTTATAAGAATTTATGGATGTTAAATGGCTATTTTGAATAGATTTATTACCTGGTTCATCTGATGATGAAATCGTTGGTGTTTCTAATGATAATAGAAGATTATTATCTATATTTGATGGTGTTTCATAGATATGATCATTTGAATTTGTTTGAACATTATGATATCCATTTGTCGTTAATAGATTCTCATGTTCATTTTCATTACCTATTTTAAGTTTAAGAGATTTCGATGGTGAATGATTTATATTTTCATGTAGAACTCCATTTGTTTGATTATTTATTTCAATAGATGTTGGCTTTATAATTAATGTATCAGATTGATTTGTATCATTAGACATATTGGCTTGTGTACTTGTTAGACCGGTAACTAAAGCACCGATTGTAGAATATGATTCTGTTTGTGGTTGCTTGGATATATTATTGTTCTGATTTTTATTATTTGACGAACGACGTTCACGTTTTGTATTTACCTTGAAATGAAATAGATTTGATTTTAAAAATTTCATTTTTTGTTCAGACGAGACAAAAAAAATGTAAAAAGAAAAATTCAATTACCGAAAAAAAACAAATCGAGAGAATTTCTCTATTCTAAGACTTTGGATCTCTTATTGATAGCCACTTACTTCTTTTCTTTTTTCGTTAATAATGCACAGCTAACACTCTGTCTGACTGACCATCTCTCTCTCTCCCTCTCTCTCTTCGTCTCTTATTCTCTTTCTTCTCTGTGTCCTCGAGAGGACAGAGAAGAAAAAAATTGAAAGAACACTCTCTTTGTGTTCTTTATATATGTTAAATCTTTCATCAAATTGCACTAATGTATGTACGAATATGAGACTATCTTGAGAGTAAAAGAGAGAAAGAAATAAAGAACCGAATATTCAAATACAAAAAAAAAAATCATTGTTCGATTTTCTTTTTTTTTTCTTTTATATACAGATGATTCTGATTACGTCGAAAAGGTTTACTTTTATTCTCATTATTATCTTTAACGATGTAAAGAAATGTTAGTGCATGACAACGGCAAATTCTATTTACATATTTGCTTATTGTACAAGCAAATCGGGGATGAGACGAGAATATACTTTTTTCTATTCTTCCTTTTATAAGCAAGTGTCGAAGACAACTAGTAGTTACTAGAATAAACTGATCACTTCTCGATCGAGACATGTATGACAACATTTATTTACGGATAAGTGAACGTTTGAGAATAGTCAATCTATGCATAAATAAACAAGAATAGTCAATGAAGTAACTTACGACTTTGCTCTTATGCATGATGCTGGATATGTCGGTGCTTTTTTTATTTTAGATTGTGATAGCTGTTAATGTTGAATTGAAATAAAGAAAAAAAATAATAATAGTGTATGTATGTGTATATGTATAAGTGTGTATGTTCGTTTTTTTCCTCCCACAAGATCACTCGACTAACGAGAAGGATATATATTTGACGTGATAGGCGGTCAAGAATTCAGTCAACAGAACGTGTGGATATGTGCAGATAAATAAAAGAGCGAAGGAGCAAGAAATACAATCGATCCACAAAGTGGAGGAATTATACAAAATCTTCAACTATCAGAGCAATTATAAAACTATACACATGCATATATATATATACACACACATATATATACTGGCTCAAAATATCTTTACTGTTCTCGTATTTTATACGAATGTATAGTCCGTATCACACATCAGTGAACAGTAAAATAAAGGGAGAAAAAGATTCAGTGGACGATGACGATGAGAGATATTCATTAGCGGATGTATAGATACGTTTTTTTTAACTCGATATTCATTTTTTTTGCTCTTACACATCGTATCATTTTGAGCGAATAGACAAGCACAGAAAGTACGGACGGTTTTCGTTATGTATTTAATAGGCCGCACTATAATACATACACAATTATATTCGATTATATGAAACAAAATCTACATGACGAATAAAAATATTATTATAATTATCTTACATAAATTTATAAAATGATCATAAATCTGTCAAACATATTAGTTTCGAATTAGAATGTCTCATATTCATAAAAACTCTTGTTTTTTGAACTAAATATAATCAGCTACATGTACGCAAAAAAGCAACCATGGACAATATGAATTGATTGAACTTTATATATTATAATATGTGTTTCGAATTTTTAATATATGTATATATAACTCATATTAATTTGTGTTCTCATGTCTAGTTGATGATGGAGTCACAACCACTTTTTCTTTTCTCGTTCAATATGTTTTTTTTGTTCATCTATCATTTAGGGTCAAATGATAGACATATGGGTAAAAAATTTGGGAGTAGACGTTACCTACTGTGATGAGAGAACGTGCTCTTTCTCCCTTTCTAATAAGCAAATAATGTGTTGTTGACATCCACAACAATAATAATACAAATATGATCTTTTTTCTTTAGTTTAATTTGTTCAGTCAGTTGATTGATGATGAATGAAGTTTATTCTTTTTTTCGTTTTCTGTTTGTATATTTGACTGTTGACCGTTGGTCAACAATTAGGTTGCTATCTTTAATTGACTACAGTCGATTATTAATCTTCTTTTACTCAAGCGATTCATCCCTTATTTCAGACAAGAGGAAGCCATATTTTGAAAAGAACGACATAAAGAAAATATTGTAAACATACATATTTTTTTCTCATCTTTTCATTCTTCTTTGTATTGTTCTTAATATTCAAGTACTATGACGCGCCTCTTAGCCATAACGATAATTCATTGCTATTCTTTTTTTTTCTTCAATCACAAATTTAATCGATTATACATTATTTTATTGACAGCGTCATCAATTTTCTTTTGTTATTTTATCTGTACATATATTTCGATTTTGTATACATATGAATAATCAATTGCATCATTCAATTGATATAGATCTGAATGATCTTGAATCAATAACAAATTTTAATCAATCCTTTAATGAAAATGATAAACATCGAGAGAAAAAAAAATTTTCAATTAAAATTTTTCATAACTTATCTTTATATGTTATTATTTGTTTAATTATTTTTTCAATTATATTTTTTATAATTGGAATAATCTACAGAAATTCATGTCGTTCAGAACCTGATATACCAATATTTTTAATTATATTTAGTATTTTAATTCTTATTAATCTTTTTATTTATCGAATTTTAGGAATAACATTTCTTGCTTGTAAGATATTTTTCTAGTCTATCGATTTTTTTTAATCAACTTATGTATGTCAGTAATTCGAGGTGCACGATCATGTTCATTAGACAAAGGAATTGGAATATTGATTGCAACTTTGTTTGGAGTTATTTTCGGTATTATTATATTTATTTGGTGGATTACTGGAACTGTGTGTTGTACATTTTTTATTTTACGAAATTAGATAAAAATATTGTAAAATTTTAGATTTGGTGGATAAAATTAACATTACGTATAAAACCTCAATTAAAACATCCAACTTCATTGGCCTGCTGTCATCCTATTGTCTATTGGACAGCTTTGCTAGCTAATATTTTTGGTTTAATCGGCTTTATTATCCAAATTTGCATTGCAATTGACGGTAGTATGAGAGCAAGTAAACAATCATCGAAGATTTATCGTTAAAATGTGAGAAAAGACGAGACAATGTTAACATTTATTTATATTTATAAAATCTGTTTTTTTTTGTACATTAAATTATGCGCATATTTTTTTACTAACATTTCTTTTTCTTTGCATCATATAAAACAGAACAGGTGTAAAGAAGATATTCGATAGTCTGTGAAATGATTTCTTTTTTTATTTATAATCGGCATCATGTTTGTTTCAGTTATTAACAAATAACAAAAAGAATTATTTAAAAAAATAAAATAAAATATATTTTGTATTTCGAAAATAAATTATTTACTTTTATATTATTCTCTTTTCTCATTAAAATTTGTTAAATCAATTCGATAAGTACCGATACGCCCAACACCTTCAATTATTAAATATTCTTTGTAGACATGTACTGTTGCAAAAGCATTTGTATCTGGTTCACATTCAACTATTGCTTGTAATGTTAAATGATGAATATTTTTTTCATCATAAAAGTAAGCACCTTCATGAGAATGTCCAGCTATATAAGCAAGAACAGTATTATCAAATGTCCATAGAATATCTAAAACATCTTCATAATTCCATACTAGAGCAAGTTCATCACCTGCTTTTGGATGAATCGGAATATGACCTAAAAGATTAAAAGAAAATAAAGAATGGACAATGAAATCAATCATCAGAAGATACTAGAGATTCGAATTAAATGAAAACATGTTGAATAAAGTTGAAATGTATTATGGAAAAAATAAACAATTTTTTCAAATGAATATTAATGTTAAACGAAAAAAGAAACAAATATGACTTTTCGACAGAATCGATAAAAGAGGATTTGCTAAGAAGGAAAGCACCTGATCTAATACTCATCGTTTGATTGCATATTGGATCATCAAAGGATATCGTATTAAGACTAGCAAAGCTCTGGAAGAATTCGACCTCATGCGTCTCTGAAGCCTAGTTCGAATCGTTTTACTGAATTTTCGAGTCATTTTTTTGGTGTATATTGAAAAAAGAACAGAATTTCAGCGTAAAATATTGTTTATTGACCGATCAAATGGTTCACACAATATCTTGAAAATTTCAGTTGAACAGAACATTCTTTTGTCGTAATAATGAATTAGAAAAAGAAATAATCGCTTGCTACAGTTACAAAAAAAAAAAGAAATTTATTTAAAAATTCAATACGGGAACAAAAAATATTCTTTTCGGTTAAAACTTTCCGAACACTCTAGAAACAAAATTTTACATCGAGATTTCGTCTTTGATTTTGTCCGTATTTATCTGAGCGAAAATTCAGTAAAACGATCATAACGCGACTTTAAAGGCTCCTTTAGAAGAACTCTTTTAAGCTTTTGGTAGTCTGATCAATAATCCCTTGTGAATCCAATATGATCTCACACAGCGGCTATCCGTTCGTGTGGCTTCCTCATAAGTAAAAAAAACAGCGTAAGTTAATTGATCGTATACACATTAAGAGACAATGACATAAAACATAGGTTGCTAATGAATCATGTGTTTGTTTTTTTGACTCAGCATTTTAAGCAATTAAGTTTTTATTAATTGCATGTATCGCAGCTTATTTTGATTGAACTGAAAGATTATCTCTTGTTTGAATCATTAAATAAATAAACCTATTTTCGATATTATTTCATTCCTTCAGGCGAAAAAAACACATTATGTATTATCATCTAATTAACTATTTGTCTTCTGTAAACTAAAACATTCATGGAGTTATTTTACAATTGTTTTTTTCTTTGTGAATGAATGTAAAGAATAGATGTCATGTTTACAAAAGGCGAGAAATTTCAATAGCTACTATGTAAATAGATTGATTTAATGCATGCAAGAAAGTATTTATGTTGAATTGAATTCATACTTTTATTTGTCCGACAAGACATGTAAATTTCTCTTGACATTTTCAAGTTGTTTTTAGAGTGAAAGAAAAGAAAATATTTCTTCTGAAGTGTAGTATGATCTTCTATTTTAATTTTTTACCTACGATAATAACTTTTTCATGAAGATATTTAGCTTTAATTAATTGTTCTTTTAACCAAATGAGTTGTTTTTGTGTTAATCCACCATTTAATTGTATAAATCTTTGTTGATAACCATCTAATCCAGTTGGATCATTGATACTTTCATTGTGATTATATTTTCTTAATAAATTCATTGACTGAATATAAATTTCATTATTTTTATCGATACCCAATACACTTAATTCATAAGTGTCAATTGCAATAATTCTTAAATTAGGACAAACTTCAAATGTTCCATAGTGGCCTGATGAAATATTTTTCGTATCAAACGAACATAATGGGCCATTTAATAATTCCTTTCTTGTAAAACTATACAATTCATGATTTCCCCATATATGATAAATAGGAGAAATATTTCGAAATTGTTTAAGAATGGTCTCTAAATCACTTATTGATGTTTTATTTGTTTGACAACTTCCATCAATCAAATCGCCAAGTTGAATTATAAATGCTATTGAATATATTCCATTTAACCAATAACTGCATGCTTGATCGACTAAATTTAAAGAATTTCTATAACGTCTTAGAAATGTTCTTGAATAATTCCATCGATCGTCATTATTTGCATAATGAATATCTGTTATTAAACCAAATGATACTATTGGTTTTAGATGGTCATTCTGATATAAATTTAGATTTAATGAGCTTTTTTCCATGATGGCAATAGTCGCCATCTAAAACAAC